TCGCCACTACAGATGCCTCTTTCTAGTCTTGTGGTAATCTGCCTTCTCGAAGTGACGTGTTGAAGAGCTCCAAGACCGTGCGCTGCAGTATATCAGCGAGTGGTTTGACAATCGCAGCATGCACATTGTCTGTTCCCGCCGATCTATTGGGGTCTAAGCTAGCGAGTACACTAAAGACCTCTGACACTGTTAGCGGTGCCTGGCATTGTACTTCCGGTTTGACCATGTGGTTGTGAAGGGACTGGACGCCCCTCATTCACACGATACACTTTCTGTAAGACACGCAGCAGCACCTTTGCCTTATCTGCGCCTTCTGTAGCATGACTTCCGCTTTCCATGGTCAGGTTACCAACTCGTCGATTGACCACAACTCATCAATTTCGGACACCGAAATCGCGAACATAGGTTGTGGCATGCCTCGATTGTCTCCCTTCAAGAGCTGGCACTGCTGACACGACAGCACGTATGTGTCGACGTCATTTTTCATACCCGGCCAGTAAGGTAGCTGCCTAAGCAAATCATATGTTCTGCTGCATCCGGTATGCGCCATCTCGTGACAAGAGATCACCAAGTTTTTCCACAACTTCGGTGGGATCACCGTCACCAGGGTAGAGCCTCGCCTTTTTGTCAATATCAGAATTCCGGCTTCGTTGACTTGCAGGTTTTCCAGGTCCCACCGCGAACGGCCCGAATTGTTTGCCTTGGCTTTTGGTTGTCACAGTTTAGTTCATCATTCCTGCTGTTATCAGCCTGTTCAGGAGCCTATCCTTTCGTTGCTCAGCTGCCAATATCCCCGGATCCTGCTCCAGCACCAAACCACTGACACCGAAGGCAACGTTCGGCAGGTCGTCGTCACTCGTCAGGCGCGATAAAAAAACCTGCCGTTCCGTTGTCCCTATCTGATATGTGGCTTATCGTGAAGTCGTATTCTTGTAAGCGCAGCACCCACCTAGCCAATTAGCCTCTGGAATCTTTTGAGGACCTAATCCATTCCCACGGTTTGTGATCTGTTTCGACGTGAAGCGTTGACCGTAAATACGCCCGCCACTTGTCCAGCACCCAAACAATTGCCAGACATTCCTCTATCCTTGAATACCTGCGTTCCGATGGCGATAAAATTCTGCTAGTGTATTCAATCGTCCTGTTTTTGCTTCAGTACCGCACCGATTCCAACGTCACCGTAAACGTTTCTCCGATGATCGGCAATTTCAACGTAAGTACCTGCCTTCCCATTTCTTTCTGGATGTCGTCAAACGCTCGCTGAGCTTCTGGCGTCCGTGAGAATTTCTTCCCCTCCTAACAAGTCGTACAAAGGTGACGCCAAACTGTTAAAACTCCTGACGAATTTACTGTAGTATCCGGCGCGGCCCAAAAATGCCCTAAATCTGCGCTTCGAGGTCGGAACTGTGGTGTCTCGAATTGTCAATGGTTTCTCCAGCAGCGGCTTCAGCTCACCCTGACCCACCTTGTGACGAAGCAGTGTCACGGACCTTTTCCCGATTTGAGATTTAGGACCATTTATGCGTAATCCCGACTGTTGGATCCTTTGCAACATTGCTTTCTAATGACAGCAGTGTTCTGCTTCTGATTCACTGTATATCACGATGTCGTCTCCATACACGGCCCCATTCTCTAACCCATCCAGCAGGCGGAGCATCAAACGCCAGAAAGTGAACGGAGCACCAGATAAGCCAAACGGCATCCTTTTGAGTTGGTACGGTTTCTCGTCAACTGCAAACGCGGTCTTCTCTCCGTCCTTCTGTTTGATCGCTAGCTGCCAGTAGCCAGATCTCAAATCCAGTACTGTGAATATCTTTGATTTAAGCAGTTTGTCGAAGATGTCTGCGACTGATGGCACCGGGACAAAACGACTCAGCGAGATTTCGTTCAACCTTCTGAAGTCCACGCAAAAGCGGTATTTTCCGTTGGCCTTCTTCACCAAAACGACTGGGGAGTTATACGGGCTGTGAGCCTCCTCGATTACACCCGCATTCAACATCTGAACCTGCCTTTTGACCTCGGCCTCCAGGTGGATTGGTATTCTTCTGGGTCCATGCGGCCGATACGGCTGCCGCGAAAGCGGAATTGTGTGTTCGAGCCAATCACAAAACCCGTAGAGGCTGTTATCGTCTGTGAAGAGAAGTTTGTATTTACCGACGAGCGATTGCAGCGACGGACTAGTGTGTAAAACGACAACGACTGAGCACGCCCGTGTGGATCCTTCTCTACCAGCGAGGGGTATAGACCCTTATTTCGTCATCAGCTTTCCTCGTTTCAGGTTGACGATGGCCTCATTGGCTTGGAGAAAGTCTGTCTTCAGAATGGTCTGTTTCGTCTCCGGCGACATCGAAGAGATGGTTGAATTTATGACTCCCGTTAAGAACCACGTGCTCCGCCATACCATTTATGCGTATATCGTAACCACCGACCGCCTTAACCACCATGCAACAGATTGGGTTTTCACTATCTCGATGGTTGATAAGGGAGACTCCGGCTCCTGTATCGATTAAACACCGCTGTTGCTCCATTTACCTCTACCATCGCTTCAATCGCACCTCTGTTCAGGACCCCAAGTATGCACTCACCAACACGTGAACTATACTGTTTGTAACTTTTATTTGGTACAAAGAGTGTACTACGTCTTGAAGGGCATTGCCGCTTCCAGTGTCCAAGTTTCCCACAAAAGAAGCATCGCCCACTTGGCCACGTCATCTGAAGTGCCCCGATGTCCTGCGTAATCTGCTCCAATTTCTCTCCTAACCTGTCCAATCGCTCGCTATATTTTCGGTCTTCGATACGCAATGTTGCCGCTGGCTCATGTACCAACGCTTGCCACTCGAGCAAGTTCCACCACGTCCGTTCTTTGGGTGGCGTTCACAATCCGCCCACGTTGGAGGTAGACCGTCCAGAAACTGCTCCACTGACAGTTGCTGTCTTGACGCGTAATCCAAATCTGGCAGCGCCCGATCCAACAAGCAGCCGAGGTGGACCGCAAACACGACCGGATCCGCTCCTAGCCCAAGCCGGGTCGCCTTGAATCATCGCATCGCACCGCATCCTAGCGGTCAGCCGGACTGTCGAACCCTGTGATCAGCGTCTCCCAAGGGCGGCTGGGTCACTTCTTGCTGCCTCCAGGATCGTCTTCGCCCGTTCCTTGAGTAGACTCCGAAGCGCAACCAGTTTCGCCCGATCGTGCTTCACCCGACTGCTTCCGTGAAATCGAAATCCTCCAGGAGTCCTCCGTACATCGCCATCCTCAAATGGTTCCGGCCAGGTGATCTTTCTTCCACGCCTGGGTAATCACCGCACCACACGTGGAGGGCTCTGCGGTGCGGACACGTGGGGAACGAACGTATACATGGTATAACATTTCTAACATAGAACAGTTGGACTCATTTGTTTGCATCATTCGTGGTGCCACTTGTTTCCACGTTGCGCCTTGTGCTATCGACTCATCTTGCCGTGACGATACGGTATAGCTTCAACGCTCCAGCGCCATCCATTTTCAGGGCTAGTTGAATCGTGCACTACGCGCCCGTCGTCCGCGGTGATCCATTATTCGCTGAGTTCATCGCGCCTGCTCGTTTCATCACACTACTCATTAGTAGCGCACCACAAACCGAACTGTGCATATAACTGTTGTGGTTTTCGTACTGTGGCCGCTGTCGTGTTTGTTTTCAACAGTTACACGTCCGGCCACTTGGTATACTAATCAAACACAATAAAAATACACTGGGCCAGCGAAACCAACGTGAATTCTCTCCCAAGGCTTAGAGGCTGACATCCAGAGTTGGATGCTTTTACTTGGAAGTTTCGCTGCTGATGCACAATTGCTGCATGTGTCGACACAATCATGGATAGCGTTGTCGATAAAAGGCCAGTATACATAACTTCTGGCTAATGTTTTTATCCATGTTATTCCGGGTGATGTAGGTGCGAATATCTTAATACCCTTGCCTGCAAGAACTTCGGAACAACCACGCGCTCAACGAACATAACACAATCATCAACCATTGCTAACGAGTCACGTCGACAATAAAATTGTTTAATGTGCGTCAGTAATCCAGTCTGGCCACTTTGTGTTTAAAAAAACGAATATTTTGCAAAAGAGGGTCGAGTTTGGTGTGCTTTTGAATGTCCACAGAAGTAATCGGGAGAGCTCTGATTGAATTACACAGAAGCTGTTTCACGTCCGATTCAAGCGCAACTAACGCGATCACCTGTTATTCTATGCTCGGCTGTTTTGCGATAAGTCTAGACAGCGCATCGGCGTAGCGGAAATCTGCCGTAGGCACATGAGCTATTGTAAAATTATATCCGAGCAACAGTGTCACCCAGGGTTGGAGGCGATTCGCCGTGTACACAGGTATACCCTTCTTTGAACCGAAAATGGCCAATGATGGTTTATGGTCAGTCTCCAATACGAATTCTCTACCCTGCAACATCCGATTAAACATTTTGACGGCAAAAGTTAAAGCTAGTGCCTTTTTTCGATCTGTGAGTACTTGCTTTGAGACTTCGTTACGACACCTGATGCGTAGGCAACCGATCTCGAGTCGAGATGCTGACGGAGAACCACTCCAGCGCCATAACTAGAGGCATCTGCGTAGACCATGATACCTGCTTTTGGGTCATAATGTACCAACATTAAGTCAGATACAGGGGTTTTCTTAATGAACTTAAACGTTTCCTTACATTTGCATGACCAAACCCAGGGTCGATTTTTACCCAGCAACTCATTCATTGGCCCGCGAAGTCGATGCATATCAGGACTAAATGCACTGTAATAACTTACCATGCGAAGGAACGATTGCAGAGTAGGTGTATCGTATGGTGCAGGTAATTACTCGATGACGCGCGTTTCTTCAGTATCAGGGCTTCGTCTGTCACGATCGACAATAAAACCAAGGTATTTTAGTTGAGGCATGAACAAACAACATTCATCAGCTCTCAGGGTCAAATCATATTACCGTAGACGTTCGAGTACCTACAACAGGTGGCAACTATGATGGGTACTGTCTGTTGATGCGACAATAATATCATCCAACTGCACAAGCCGATGGTATATCCGCTAGCATAGTGTCCATCAGTTGTTGAAAGAGTCCCGGAGCAGCGTTCACTCCCAACGGTAGCCGATTGTACTGATACAGGCCACGGTGAGTTTTAATTGTAAGAAGGCGCCGTACGTCATCATCGGCTGCCACTTGTAGATAGGCATCCGAGAGATCGATCTTTTCGAAAATGCGATTGCTGTTGAGTTTGGCGAAATGATCCTCCGGTAGTGGTAGCGGATATTGATGGAGATTCAGTGCTTCTTTCAGGTCGGTTGAATAATCTCCACATAGGCGAATGGTTCCGTTTGCTTTTTTCACCATCACTATGGCCACTGTCCAGTCTGATTATTCCACTTCCGAAATCACCCCTGATTACTCCAAGCGATCCAATTCATTTTCAACTAACTTAAGAGACGCATCAGGCACCGGTCTTTTGTGTCGAAAAACAGGCGTTGCATCATCTTTTAGCTACAGAGATGCAGTGAACTTGGTGCAACAGCCAATTGTGGGGTTGAACACTGGGAATTGCTTCTCCATATCCTCAGCAATTGTAGAATTCTGCGCTGCGTGACACTGTGATGACATGTCCGGGTCGGATAGACTTTCCTCGGTTTGATCGCGCACAGTGTCAATAGGAACGCTCCGCAGATTCAACGCGGTTATCCGATCAATACCAAGTTTGTTTAATCCCGGGTTGTCGGACACGTAACAGACCCCGGTTCACTTACCGTCTGTAAACCTATTCACAGGGAAATTTACCATATAGCTGTAGGATACTGTTCGATGCACTCCTTGCGATATTTTCCGCATTGCACAGTATCGGTCTACTGATAGCCTATCATGTCGGGCTGGAGATGATGATGTCAGATGTGGTATCCATCTGTAGGCGCACTGAGAGACCATTAATAGCGACAGTGATGAACTTGCGAAATGAAAGAAATCTTTCCTGTGCAGTCACCTAAAGCATTCCATTTGATTCCGCGTTGTTGAAACGGTTTGGATTGATCCCCACGATGAAGACGTCGTGTGGTTTATCGGCAATGCGTTTCTTTATGGCCTTTCTTGTGGCGGACGGTGCACTGGTGATTGATGAACGGACAGTTTCTGAAAAAATCCCTCTTACCACAATTCCAACAAACACGTGGTGGTTTTTGTCGTGCGGTGTTATAAACATCTGTCGGTGTTCGGGTAGAAATTGCATCAACCATCGCAATCTCTGACATCAGTTGTCTTGACTGCAACATTTGTGAATCATTTTTTTAAGTTGACCAGACGCTGACATCCTGTATGGTGAACTCTGGAGATCTGTCCAGTTTGGATAACAGACTTGTTCTGCTTTTTGCGTCATCTGCAGTGGTCAAACAAGATACAAAATGAGTGAATTGAACTGATCATCCGTAATTTGTTTGAGCTTGAAATGCTCACATGAATGGTTCACTCTGCCCGCGTATGAAACATTATCCTCGGATTGATTCTTAACCAGCTTCAAACACTGATAACGGCTGTTGAAAATTTTGGACCTTTCACCGAAAATGGAAGTAAGAACATCTACAGTATCCTGGAAATCGCACTCCCGAGACTGTTTCGGAAGAATGAAATTACAGTAATGGTTGTGTTCATTTGCACCCAGCTTCCGTAGCAACAACCGTACTTTGGCCGCATCATCAAGCATGATCGCGTCAACCAGAAAGATGTCTTCATATCGCCTGTACCAGGTTGCGAATGTGATGTCGCTCTCTGCGTCAGATTGGAACTTGCATTCCGTTTGCCAACGTTCCAGCTGAATTGGACTCGGTTTTAACTGTGGTGGGTGTTAGATTTGGAGATGGCAGTTTCTCAGTGAGTGCTTGGAATAACAATGTCTGTCTTTGTCTCAAGTCACATGAAACAAGCAAGACAGCCGGCAGTATAGGTTAAGATGAGAGTGTGTCAGGCAGGCAGCGGCTTGATGCATATGAACCACAGTAGAACAGTGAGTGAGAGTGAACTTCACAATCAGGTGTGTGAGACGACATTGTACTTTTAAGGCACCGGATCGCCTGGTGTAACAGCGCTTGACTGTGTTTGATCATCGTTGCTTACGGAGTTTTGGTTACCCCTGAGGGGAACATCGAGTGTGTAATTCCGAGTTCTGCCAGTTGGTTTTTGGCAAGAAGCCTTCATTGTAATGTTTGCTGATTCTCAACCATTTTCCTTGACTAGGTCATGTTCTTCGTATACCCTTGGTTGGCTTCTTTGACATGTGTTATGCGCCGTGGCTGCACTAAGTTAGGCGAAAACAAGAGGTGGCCAGTGTTGCGAATGCCAGTTCATCAACTCCCGCGTCGTGCGTTGCTTGCGCGCCGGGGGTTGCGAATGGAAGAGGAGGAGCGATGGCCTAGCGATGATTTAGGAGAAATGATGACCCTTACTTCGGAGTTGGCCTCGGTTGGAGCCTTGCGGCTCTCTGGTTGGAACCGCAGGACGATGAACACGTTTGGCTGGATACAGTTGTTGACATGGTTAGGAGCCGACCTCAATGGAGTTTTTGTTGTGAGTTTCTTCCCCCCCCCCCCCCGCAGCCTGGCCTCCCCTTCTAACCACGATCACATCTGAGGTATACTATAACTTTTTTGCGGCACAATAGCCAGTTGTTAGCTCTCCAGAACGATGTCCATCCGCTACTAGTGAGTTAGCCGGCGTGCCCCTGTTACCCGTTTTTTTTCTCGGCTTTTGTATTGCGGCACAATAGCTGAGGGGTTTTCTACCTGTAGCTTACGTGCATGATGTATGTATGTATGAGGCGGCCAGTCCATGACGTGGCTTAGAAGCTTTAAGAAATTAACCGAGACACTTGTTCAAGTTGGTGGTGCCGTCTTCATACCTGGAGTGTCCTGGATGTTCAACCACAGTAGTTGGAAATGGCACAATCGCGCAGTCAGCTGCGTTCTTGCATTCGACTGCTTGCACATAGCTGTTAATCATTTTCCCAGCTCGATTGGTTTTGCGCCTTTCTGTTCTGATTCAATTTTCTTACATTCTTTTTGCATTGAACCTCCTCTTACCATCGATACTTATTGTTATTCTGGCGACGCGAGTTGTGGCAACTGAATCCGCCGTACTTCGATGCCTGGATCGTCGATGTTTAACTGGGCTGAACTGAATCAGCAGCTTGTGACTGACAACCAGGGATTATACTGTCTCCACCCGGACTGTCCCTATTCCCTGTGGAGCCCTCTGTCTCATCGACTTGAATCATCCCCGCACTAAACGGGAAGCGGTAAAGTTGATAAAGGATATCTTTTCTGCTCTCCACAACTCACTTAACCTCTTCACGCACCTTTTTCCTGCATCTCATTCTGCTCATTGTCTTTGTGGCGTTTTATGTGGGTGCTTCATCCACACAAAAATCATGCACCGTTTTGCAATTATTTCTTGACTTTGAGTAAATTGCGTTGTGCTTTAGGTTGATGCTGTGGTTTGTCTAGATTTCCAAATCATTGGGCTATTTTACTCTTTCGCGAACCACTCTTACCAAATTGGTCTGTGAGTTTAGACCAGACGCACTCAGTCTCTGGACCCTCCAAGTTCGAGGTTAGAATTTAGGCACTACTCATTTCTGCGAGGTTTTACATCCTATGCATGGTTGTTAATTACTCATTGCATTGCGACTAGGCTTTTAATTCAAGGGATTCTGTGATGGAACCAAACCACTTGCCTATCTTCGGCTCCTTGGTAGTATCCCACACACACACACGGGAGTCGCGGCCACTGCCCCCCCCCGAACCTCCGTGCACGGATCATATTAGAAAACTGAAGTAATCTGAATTCCGCTGACCTGAACGAGATTTAGATCGAGTTTTTTTTACATCTTTCTGGACCCTCTGATGTGCCTCGGATCTTGCATCGGATATCCTCGTTTTTCTCCTTTCTTGTTAAGCTTATCTCTTCATTTTTGGTTGTGCATCAGCGCAACACCACTAAAGTCTACAGATATACTGTTATTTATGCTAGTGGTGACTCTTGTGTGTGGCTGAATGTTACCCCACACAACATGTCTTTTACTAGAAGTCATTAAGAGTATTAGAGGGATTGCTACACTGTTTAACCTTTTGTAAAGTCACTCATCTCTTATTAAATGAAACTTATATTTTCAGCATATTTCCTTCTACAATGGAAACTGTCCTGTGGACCTTCACTGTTCCTATTTACCCCTCCAAATTTGGGCGTGTACTAAAGACGCTTATGTGTTACGTCACCGCTCATGCTAAAAAGTTTGTGCCAGATTTAAACGCTTTCCTGGTTTCTATCCAGAAAAATACTCTACGCATTTTGACTGCAGACGATGGATATTTTCATTCCAATCATGTCTTGGTTCCCATTCACCCAGAATTACCTACCATACTCGTGAAAGCGCAAATTTACGTGCGCGTTTTTTCTCCTCGCATTGGATTAGAGCTATCGGCAACTGTTATTTCACTGCAGCCACACAGGGCCATTTGTGACATCGAGTGCCCAAACGTCACTGTTGTCGTCCCCCTCTCCAAGTTTGACGCTGGTGATTTGTCTTCAGACATCCATAAACTTGATCCAACTCATTACCCTAAGCTCAATGTTGGTGATGTCGTGTCTGTTCGCTTATCCTCGATATCGGCACATCCCGATGCTGTTGTACTGAAGGGCGATCTGATTCGCACTATTTCCACCACCTCCACCCAGCTACATGGGATGGTAAAAAAATTCATTTCTTCTAGTTCGATGAAGATGAACCGGCGGACACCTCTCGCAAGCCAGCTAAGCGGAAGAGATGTCAGGAAGAGGAGAAATCAACTGTCCGGGATTCTGTTGCGCGCTTGCCGTCTAACTGTATTGTTTCAACGGCTACCGAACTTTCCGATCCTCCGAAATCTCAGTCTGTCCTTGCAGGCACCGATGTTCGCAATTCACAGTTGAAACCTGAGGAGCCATTGCAGAAAAGTCATTGCACTGATTCAGGCGCTCGATTTAATGAACTTGTAAAATTGGCCCTTCCAGCATCAGCGAATTCTGATGTTTCTTCCAACGATTACAAGGTAATACTTTCACCATTGAAAAGCATTTCTTCGGCGGTATCACTCAAATCTCAACAGACGAGAAAGTCTAAAAAGACTAGCTCTGTGATTCACGATGGGATTGAATATAAATAAACGATTTTTGACACTTGGACTTTTCTGCAGAGACATATACGATAGCAACAACCTATAACCTAGACATTGAGCCATCAAAACCATGGAATGAAAGTACGTGGTAGTTACAGAACTTATAATAAAAATATTGTTTTGCACATGCTTTTTTCAGCTTTTTGGTACTTTAGTGATTGCGATGTTAATCAGTTGATTGAAGACATAAGTTCATACCTATCTTTCGTTGAGCCACCTCGCGCCATATTCGCAAGGATTTCCAGCCAACGGTGTTCTTGGTTCTCCAGCTCCAAAGACACACAGGCTGACGACAGGTAAGCTGGAATTTAGCTGTTATAACATCCTTGCTTGGATGCAGCGTCCTTAGCCGGAACAATGATTTGGCTCTCGTGGACTGTGCCCCGCGCGGACTGATGGCTGATTGATTTCAGATGGACGCGTCCCAGATAATTTAGTTGGCCAACGGTTCTTCCTCAACGTACCGAGACTAACACGGACACCGCACAACTACTCGCGACCCCGAGCGAAAAAACTTGAGCTTAAGCGAATCGCTTTTAATGCTCAGGTGAAGATTAACACGGTTTGTACAGTCTGATGTTTTCGCACGAGTTTCCTCGTTATCGCATAGTTTTAACTTGTTAATAAAACGAAGTTGGTGATCAGAGTGACTTAACTACCACCTAACAACTGCATCACTATGGATATCACACAGTCTGCGACCTGGTAACAATGTCTCTCTAGTAGGACAGCGACAAACGCCAACTGATAATTTATTCGCCGGTAATTGCTAACAAAATAAGGCTACTGGACCTGACGACTTTTTTCCATCTTTGCTGGACGATGGAGTTGGCTCTTTGTTGACGGGGTTTACTGCTGTACATAACACCATTTGGGACGCGGACAAGGCACCTTCAAACTGGCGACTTTCAACTGTTGCGCCCGTCTTCAAAGAGTCATTGTACTTTGTGCAAAAATTATTGAAGCACTAACCTTTACTGCCTCAAAACACCGCACTATTATCAAACTTCAACAACTTCCTGGTTCTCATGAGAGTCGAATCATTGAAAGCCAGGCTGATTTTCGCCTTGATTGCTGTTGAACCGAACACATGTTCACATTTTACCAGGTTTTGAGCAGACACGCATACAGACGACTCGCTGTAGTGGTTTTCCTTGACTTGAAAGTCGCTGACGGATCTGTTGATCGCTTCAGCTTGTGGCACTTTCTATCCGTGAAAGGCGTACCATCTAGAGTCCTTTCAACTCTAAAGTCTCTCTACAGTGACCCCCGGGGCCGTCTGAAGCTCTCTTGTGTTCCACACTACAAATGGCGTTCGCCAGCGTTGTCCCATATGTCCTTTTCTCCTCAACTTTGTGATCGCAATCATCATGAATGACTCGTTTCATTTAGACTTTATTGGAGTGGACATTCTGTCAGGTGACCGACTGACAAACCTTGCTTATGCTGACCATATAGTTCTCCTTGCGTGGCTATGCAAACACTTCCGGATATAGTGGTGCACAGCGCCACACACTTCGGCATATGCTTTGCACCTTCAAAGTGCAAACTACTGTTGCAGGACTGGACCGACACGCCACCGGTTCTAGCTATTAGCAATTACCCACCGGAAGAGGTGGGTCGGTTTACATATCTTGGTTATATGTGTCACCTCTTGTGCTCACATCACTGAGCATGTTGCCTCGTGTATCAACTAGACCCGTGCGGCTTTCCAGAATTTCAACAATCTTTGGGGACTGCGGGATATCAGCACGTCAGTGCAAGCTAGGGTGGGTAACGCTGCGCTAAGGCCGGTGTTGCAAAGTATTGCTCACATCTGGTGGGAATACTGAGTGAGTACTGCTGAGTTCTGCCAGTTGGTTTGTGTTCAGAAGCCTTCTGTTGCCTCACGCTACTTTTTGCTGGATCTCAACAGTTTGCATTCGCCAGATCATACCCTTCGTATTCCCGTTGATTAACTTCTTCGGTGTGCATTATACACCGTGGCTGCACGAAGTTTGGTGAAAGCACAAGGTGGCCAATCGATGAGGTTGCATAAGGGCTTGAAGAAACTCGCCGAGTGATTAGGTCAAGTTGCTGCATGGTGTCTTTGTGGATGGGGGATCTGGGATGATCCATACCTGTGGCTGGGTTTGTATCGAACATATCGCAGTCACGCAATCAGTGTCGTTCCTTCAATCGGCTCCATGCATCTAGCTGTTAATCTTCATTCCATCCCGTTTAGTTTTTGCGCTTTTCTGTGTTTACATTCTTCCTCACTTTCTTATCGTTGTTATTTATTGTTATTCTGGCGACGTGAGTCGTGCAACGGGATCCACCTTACCTCGGTGCCTGGATAATAGTTTGACAGAACTGAGAGGAACTTAGTGACCATGAGACCTTTGCAGCATCAGCACTTTGATATTTTGCCGCTGTGAGGTGGGGCTAACAACTTCGCGACTTTTTTCCCTTGCGGTGCTGTGCCGGTGCTTAAATCGCCTCATGGTAATCGCTTCCACGACATGCGTAGCACGTGACCGAATCACCTCAATTAGTACAGCGACCTTGACCTATCGTGACGAAAACCTGTATTGTCTGGCGCGCCGCCAGACACCCGCATATCCATACGCATTTCCCAAGACTCGCTTCCGTATCACAGCACCACGCGATAACAGACATTGTATACCCTGCCTTTTACCGCGAGCATAGCGTTCCGAAGTGGATACAGATGTCTGAGGTTCGCAAAGGTTGATATCGCTTCGATACCGCTAACAGGTATCTCGCTTCCAATGTTGCTGTCAACAGTAACCCAGTTCCCGGGTAGAGAAAGCTGTTCACTTGTTCAAGCTCTTTACTTTCGAGAGAGTACTATTGTAGGCGGACGCGTATCCTGGAGCAGAAGTTTGTATTTCGAGGGAACAGCGGGCATGCAATAGGTAGTTACTTTCGTCACTAAACGGCGTTGCATACTTCGTGTGTTGGCACTGAGCAAAGCGTGGTTGTCTGGAAGAAGCTCCATCTCGGGACCTTATAAGCGTTGCAGTGTGTCCGATGGGACGTCAGAAAAATTGAACTAAAACAGGGACATGAGGCACTCCTGTCTCATCACCGGCGACAGCGTAAGGTGAGAGCTTGCTACAAGCCCTTACTCTGCTCGAGACCATGAAATGTAATGCTCAAAGGCTGAAGGTGTACTTTAAGAGTGCTCCGTTCTTTTGCAAGGAACGCTATAAATCAGGTCGGTCGATCGCGCCGAATGTGGCCAAAATGCACAAAATGTCGACGGTGGTAGTCTGGCAGCAAAGGCAACGGTGTTCAATGAGTTGGCGAGCGGAAGCCATCCTGCTCTGCATGGGAGTGCGGTTCTCGAATTGGGGTTGCGCTGCAGAGTAGAATGGTTGTTAGAAGTTAGGAGGTAACCGACTGACTCCTCTATGGTTGGCGCATAAGGTGCGGGCACCGTTTCTGAAGATCAGAACAATAGTGGACTCGTCCCAAAAGGATGGAGCCTTATTTTCAAAACAATTCTTGACGAACAAAGTTGTTAAGTGGCTTACAATTGCCTCACCAACATATCTAAACAACTCCAGAGGATTTCGTTTTTTTTCGAGGTTCAACGTAACTCTTTCAAAACTAGGTATTTTACTTATCCATGCTTATGTAAACAAATGTAGGCGATCTGGCCAGCATTTCCGTAACAACGATTTTTCATTCGCCTTCACAGTAATCTGTTAAAACTTAGTGAAACTGTTTGACCCACCGAATGTGACTCCGGATTCCTATTATTATTGGGCTATCGGATGTGTTTCATTCAACTTCACACTTCCATTCCAAACAGAGAGTCGAACACTTCCTATGGACATTTCTGACCTCGATTTCTCTGCTTCAGTTTTCTTCGTAATAACTCACTTGTTACCTACGCTTTACTAGACAATGTGTACATTGTTCTTTGAAAGACAGTGCTTTTATCCATTGCTGTGGGCTACGGATTTCTTTTGAATAAATATAACTCTTAAGTGTTACTGCTTCCTCGTTTTCCGCTTCGTGTTATCGATTTACGAGTAGTAATTGTCTTCACACCAGCTGAGAGTACTCAGTCATTTTTCTGCTATGATACAGCATAATCGACTAGCTCCTGAATTCGTCTTCCAACCTGCAAGTAGTTGAAGCATCTACACTTAAAATTTACTACCCATCACTCTTCTAACTGTTCACCAGTTTCAATATTCTATAAACACCTTGACCATGTTTCTTCAGTCGTATCTCGTGGAAAATCGAAATTATTCCTACTATTGTTCTGTTCCTTACAGATTAATGAGCAAGAGACTACTCTTAATATTGTCGCTTATGTAAACTGTTATATCACTTCAACTCTCAAACTTATAGTCCCGAATCATACCGTGGCCTTACTCTAAATTTGCCAATACTTTATATTGAAATACAGCCATTGTGTAGTGTCTCGTCATTGCTAGTATAACAACTGCATATATATATATATCCTGTTGTTGTACTGGCACTGACGAGATGCCTTCACGGTGACAAACTCACTCTTAGAAAACAGTTCTATAAAGATCCTTCTCTTGGCCACTGTGAAGACTTCCTCCCTTACCACTCTTGTCTGGCTGTGTTTTGCGAAAAACCAACACGGATAGCCGTTTTTCAGTGGTGTATTGGTCAACAGCTCCAGTCCTTCTTTCAGGCAATCTGGACTGCATATTCTCCCCACACGGTTAAATAAAGTCTTGACTAGTGTCCGCTTGTACCACACTAGAGTGAAGCTGGTAAAGTGCAGGTACTGCCCGGTACATGTTGGTTTTAGGTAAATAGATCTCTCGTATTTGCACTGAGAAGACAATAGGAAATGTTAAAATCTGCCAGTTTTTGTCTTCTCACTGTTTCAAATTTTCCATTCGACGAATTCCTATTGGATAGTTCAAAATTTACATACCAGTAAATAGACTAGCAACCATTCTCTTGGTATCACTCTAACATTCCGTCATTGCTGGCTGCACCTTGTAGCATAATCGACCACATCGCGTCAGCAGGTCGTGTTGGCGTTTCCATACTTATAAGCCAGTCTTTGTTTAATAGTGTCTGCATCTTAGCGGTGACTTACGTCCACATACAGTTATCAAGCGAAACGTCTCACGGCGCATGAGGCGCCGCTGTTGTATGGAAACAATTGTGGTTTCCGCACTGCGTATGCTAATGACAGAAAATCTGCTCGTCGTGGCAAATGCAGCTGTGAGATTGGTGATCTGATTGACCATCGTCAGCTTCTCACCATCGTATCCAAAGGCTAACAAGGTGTTGTCACCCGTGCAGCAACACCTTGTTCTCTGGAGACACAAAACACGCGAAGAGACGAGATTAATCAGGAGAGTGTACCCAACCTTGACTGTGCCGACTGACGGTCGTCAGGCGTCAT